ATAGACAGGCATTCCTTTCAGGTTTGTCCTACCGTTTCCTTTCAGGTACTGAATTCATCATTCTCAGGTATATTACCTTAACGTGTGTCTGTTGTAATAGATATTGCTCCCGTATCCTCTCTGAACCATCCTGGCTATTATGACTGTAATCTCTGTCAGTGAATGGGTACGTGAACATATTGTGGACAAATGTTGTTAACAGATATTTGTGGTTTCTGGGTGAATGGAGTGAGCCACTAAGTAATTTTCCAGAGCTTGTGGCTGGTTGTTCTGTCTTAGTAACTCCTCCTGATTCCTATTACACGTTGAACCTTTTTACTTTTAGATAACCTGTCCCTAAGGGTCTGCATGCCCTTTTCCTGCCTGGAAAACCTCTGAGAATATTCTCTTCTTATGGATCAACTTCACTTTAATTGGCTCAATTGTATTTATTTGAGACATCTTCCCTCCTTCACACCCCCCTTAAAATCCAAGAACCCTGCTTAAAATTAAAACTGAAAGCATTCAAGGTTCCAACTGTGAAATTTTTAATGATCTTAAATAACAAAAGCTTTCTTTAAGATAGTGATGTATCAGATATTATTTTTTGCAGGCATTTGCTCGTTCTTTCTCTTTCAGTTGAACATTCTTCCATTCACCTAACTAAAAGTGCACATGCAGCAAAGTGTACTCCACAGAGTACTAGATAACCTTGCTATGCGTAATACTACATACAGGCAAGAGATTGGTGATATTCCCCTTGTAGAAATCACTCCTATTAATGGAAACAGACTATGCTTTAAAAGGGCATCTTGCAACAGCAGCTCATGTTTCTTTAATGAGATAAAGCCAGAACTACAAACACAAGGATCAGAAAGGCGAGGTAGGTAAGTTACAAGGTAAACTTGCAGGATTCTTTTCAATGGGAAGCAGATGTTGACAGCAGAGACAGGGATGTGTAGATTTCATTTTTTGGTAGGTTGGACAGGCTGACAAGAAGAACATTATTTTTTGATGAGTTTTGACATGACTCTAAGTGTAGCAAAAGGATGTTTTTACTGTGGGATGCCTACCTTTAATGGAAAAACCATATTCATGACACAAGTTTTGTAATAAGTGTCAAGTACGTTGAAGTGAACTATAATTAACATCATTTTATTGGTACTGTAAAAGTAAAGCAGATAAATTTTAGAAAAAGTAAGAGCCATTCATTCAGCTATGCTATTTTATGTTAAAAAGTGGTGAGGAAAAGGAAGAAGAAGGTATTCCCCTCATAAAAATCTGAACAGGCACATGGCACTTGCAGAGCGTTACAGTTCCAAGTCTGGGGAGAGCTTAAGATGGATTTTCTTTGGAGAAAATTCTCTAAAAAATGTAAGGAATGCCCTTAGCCTCTGCCACCTCTCTAGTTGTGACCTCTTTTGCGTGACTGTGATATGTATGTTCTCTTGCAATTAAGAGGGGTAGGATACATGTATATTATACAGAAGGCAGTGTGAAAGTGCTGAGTTACTGATGAAAGGCGAGAATGAAGTGTGCTTGGGGATTGACAGGTACTGTAGGAGGTAATTGAATAGCTATCTGTCTTCCTGCTGTAATTCAGTTAGCTTGGAGGAAAAGTGGGTGGAAAATGTGTTTTTTTTCTCGAGGGATGCTTGCCTTTCTCTTTTGGTCTTTCTCGTAAGATCAGTGTTGGATAAAATGTTCTGTTGGGTTCGCTGTTTTTCTCCGTGTTGAAAGAGTGCTGATGCTTGTGGACCTTTTTTCATTGTTCTCAAAATACTGTACTAACTCCGGCTTTCAGCAAACACAAAACATGTCATGGTCTTTTTTATAAGAATAAACGTGCGATTTTAAAATCTAAAGATGGTGGTTATGTTTTCATAGCGTGTGTTAACAGGTAACTTACGATAGTTCTCAGAATTGGCTGGCAGCTCATAATTTACAATTGATGGAACGTTTTACACATCACTGCCACAACCCAGAGAGTCAGTAGTGATCAGCATACGGTTTGATACTGATCCAAATTCTTTCATGATGGGATCCCATTCCTTCTGATCCACGTGAGTCCTAATCATGGTATGACACAAAGACTGTTGAGGGCTGCTTTCGTTAAACACAGAAATTTAATACAGTTTGTCGTGATCCAGTAACGCGTTTACTCTGTCTTCGAGTAAGCTCCCCTTCCCACCAGTTTTACCTGGAAGCAACAATGTTCTTTCTGTACTAAAGGGTTGTTTTTGATAGTCTTTAACTTAATCTGAAGAGGGTATGTAGCACATACCCCACTGAGGGCATTAAATGTGAGACTCTATGCAGAACATGAACTTGGGGCAAATTTCGCTGTAAAAGCTTTAGGGGTAGTTTGAAAGTTTCTACATGGAGAGCTGAATGAAAGGAGAAGAAAACAAGCTATTCAAAGGCTTGCAACCAGCTGTTAAATTTGGACTTTCATCATATGCAGTGTACAACTTTTATAGGCATGTATGACAAAGAACTGTAGGAGAAAACTATCATTCAAGTCACAGTTCTTTAATTCAAGAAAGCTTCACAAGAGTCCCTTGAGATTTTCAGAGATAGGTATAGCAATGGCTAGTAGCAGTAGTTTTGGTGTAAAGTAGCATCATTGTGAGACCAGTAGCAAGACATTCACTTCTGTAAATGGATTTTTACTTTTGCGTCAGGTTAATGATCTGTATACAGATTTTTGTAATGTTTTATGTTATAATACATTTTTAATGTTTATCCATTCAGATGTGTCTCTGGATTTATTGTGTTGGAAGAAGATTGAAATTAGTTTAATTGTACAATTTCTGAGGAAGATATCCACTTCTACAGAAGAAATTTCACTTAAATTGGTTATTTTCAAAAACTGTTGGCAGCTGAAGCAGATTGAAAAGTATTTCCGAATGTTCGTACTGGTATGCTAAAGAAAACTGAGAGCAATATTTTTCAAACATGCTTTATGAGATATGATGGCCATGATTATAATGAGGATTTTTCAGAGGGTAAATGATGAGTGGAAGCTGGCAATACTCAAGAGCCCTGAAAATCATGCAGCCTACTTGAATATTCAAATCTGCACAATCAGATTTGAAAATGTTAACCCCTTTACTTTTCTGTGGTCATTTTTTTTGTTATTGATGACATGAATATAGTAACTTTCACTTAAATAGAGCACTAAGGAGTTGAGAGAATAACTTTAATGATGTTTAAAATTCAGGAAGTTGTTATCCCAGTTCAATTCACCTACTATTGAGCTTGATTTTGTTAACCTAGTTCAAGTCACACTGAGTAAAAAAGTTTAAATTAACCATCATTGCTTTACTATGTTGATGTCTATGAAAATACTGAAGACGATAAATTCTGCTATAAACTGTAGAATCATTGATTTTATTAGAGATGTCTATCCACTTCTGCTAATCGCAAACTAATGGCACTTTTGTTTTGTTTTGCTTTGTCTAGTTTAATATATGTGCACAAATTGATACACCTTCCCCGATTTCCTTTGAAAATTCCCTAGCTTACTACTGTTCTTTGCATTTCTGGAATGAAAATCTGAGAAATACCTTCCTCAACTTCATTTCAATAGTTAGTGCACTTATGACACTTTTTGCTCTTTTGTTCACCCTTCTCTCCCCACTCCCCTTTCCCAGGGTACAGCCTTTATATAGTTCCATTGGTACTATCTGAAGAGAACTTCTTACCTTTCAAAGCTAGCTAGAACTGAGTAAATTTACTCCAAAGTGTGGCTTTGTAAGCTCGTGCTTAATTGGTATTTGTTGCTTTCCAGATTATTCCCTCCCACTGAATGCAACATATCACATTTTTTTCAGGTATATTAAAATATTTTATGAAAATGAAACTTATCCTACTGATATTTTTAGTGCTTATTAAAATAACTTTTATAATCCTATGTTAGGTGAGATGTATCCCATCTTAATCTTTGTCCGAAAGGTTTTAGAAGTTCTTATAACTGTTACATTCAAGTGCTGTTTACTGGTGCAGACTTTAGATAAGGCTTGATCTAGAATAGGCAGCAGTAGTATTTATCTACAAATTGTGACATGGACTGGTGTCTTAGACTTTACCATGTGCTTGCTGTAAATCAAGGAAATACCTGTGTAGGTGTTGCAGATCGTTCTCAGTGTTTTACTCCTCCCTGTGCTTGCTTTCTGGGCCTTGAAAATGCATGCCTCACGGACCCGCAACTGTCCCTTTTCATCTGTTTAACTAACTCATTATCAGCATTGCCATTTTGTTGCTGTCAGCAATGACACTGCTGTAAATGCAACTTTTTCAGTAATACTCATACTATCAGGAAACTCTGAGACACTATATTAGATGGTCTTTGCAGGGTAATAAATTCAAGTGTTATTGTTATCCTTTGCTTATGGAGCTTTAGGAAATGAAGAATATATGTGAAAGCACTCAAGCTATAGAACCTGAATATATTTTGGGGTTGTTTTGTAAACTCTGCCAAATGTTATACATATCATCGCTATTATCTTGTGTAATGATTGCTTACTATATTATTTCTTCAATGAAAAATCTTTTTGTGCAAGAGTTATCTTTATTCCTTATTTTGTGCAAGCTTTCAATAATTCAGTACTGTTTGCTTAAAAGTATTTTGAATTTTTTTCAGAAAGAGAGTATGCCACTTCTGAATTACTGTGGCCTGCACACAGAAAAACCCAGACTTGAATTAAAAGTCAGTGAAAACAAGAAGATTCTTCAGATTTTTAATACTCTTGCTGAATGTTAGCCATTTCTATTTGAGTCTGACTAATTCTGGCAGGTCACATTTACGAAACTGCATCGAGCTAAGATGATGCGGTTCTCTCTTAATGATTGATAGACTGAATCTTCAGCCTCATCTGTTCCTGTTCCCACTGAGATCGTTTGGAATCAGTTTCTGTTGGGGAAGAATTAGTCAAGCAGTACGAACCATGGCCTGTCACCTCGCTATCTCTCAACATTGCTGACAGTCTGTGTTTTTCAAAGCTAACAGTACAGGTCACATGAGTGCAAACAGGGCTGGTATTCAATGCAAAATCTGTATTAGGATGTAGAAGGTAAAATTTCTGAGGATGACAAATAGCATGTCACCGATTGCTTTCTGTTTTAATTTTTTTCAGAAATTGAAAAATTTCAGGGTTCTGAAGGCAAGAAGGAAGATGAAGAAAAGAAATACCTTGATGTTATCAGCAACAAAAACATAAAGCTGTCAGAAAGAGTTCTGATCCCTGTCAAACAGTATCCAAAGGTACTGTAAATATAGTCTAACGTGTTTTTATCTTTCATAATAGACTAGTGGAAAAGTCATGATTTTAAATGCTTAACCATTTTTTTCTCTGCTATAAATATCCAGGCTTGAAGATATGTAAAAAGTTCGAAATGCAGTTTTGATCTGTGTTTAGCTGTTATTAGATATTATTTGCTATAACTTCTATCTTGAGACCTTTCAGAAAAGCTAGTCAAGTGAATGAGAATATTTTCTTTCACTTCAGGTGGGTTTTGTAGCTCATCCTTAGGCAAACTGCTGATATATTTTCTTAAACTAGTTTTTTCCCCCCCATAAAAATAGCAAGATACTTTCTTTTTAGAAATAAAGGACCAATCTCGGCACAAAATATTCTTGCAGAATAAATAAAAAATGATTCAATAATTGCCAGAAATCAACCCAGATGTGCTTCAGCTTCTTCATGAAAAAATTGGGGGATTTTCTCTGGAGTAATAAGTTCTAAAAGACAAAGAAACAGGATCACTGCAATCCATGATTTTGACAATGTACGTCCCCCTATCTGTAAAATTCAAGCATCTTTTTGCATATACCTTCTTCCTATGGTATTTTCTTCTCCTCTCTGCTACACATCATGATTAAAAAAGAAAGTTTACATCACAAGCGCAAATTCAGTATAAGTTTTAATTTTTAATTTCGCATAGCTCTGCATGTAGTATTTTACATAGAAGAGGAGAATGCAGTTTTCTTTATACAGCCTTGTATTTTACATAAACAGTTGTTGTAATAGTATTCAAATTGAAATGGTAAACATCTCCATTTATCTCTAGAGTATTTTTTTTTACTGATTTATTATCACATGGTATTTGGTTCACCATTAGCCTTGATTACACTCTCAGCTTTTTGCTTTATACTTTCATCAGTAATAGCAATAAATTACAATGGGTGAAAAGCCTATCAAACAAAATGAAAGGTATAAAAAAATTGAGATTCAATGATTCAAGCTGACATTTACCTCCTGACTAGTGAATATAAAACTGAGATAATGTAATCATCCAAATGGTAAAGACCTTAGAAATGCACACAGTGATATAAGGAATTACTTTCTTGCTGCATAGCCTGAGGTACTTTGCTTAGATTTGTAGCATTTTGCATAAATGCTATAGGTGACGTGAAATTCTTAATAAGACTATAATAGTGCTGTAACTTTATAATGGCAATATTATAATATTCTAATTATTCAGAATACTATTTGATGATAGTAGAATGAAAGACAAGCTATTTGAAAGACAAATGCAATAATCTATTCAATATAGGGCCCGAATATGATTAAATTAACCTTCATTTACTTTAATGAGCTTGTTATATTAATGAGAAATAAAGATATAAAACATTTCTACAGGTTTTGAGCAGTCAAACAAATCATCAGTGTAGTGGTTTTGAAATACTTTTTCAGTAATGTAAAAGATGCTTAGAAGGTTTCTGTAGCTGATTTCCTAGCAATATTCCATATTCAGAATGGAATAGCTCTTAGATCTGTGAGTTTCTTCTGCGATCACTCTCTTCATGGATTAAATTCGCTGTTTGGATCAAACTGCTAATCGCTATGGTCTGGTTTTTTTTGTTGATGAAATGTATAATTTAGGAGAATCAAAATCGGTACACGGTTGAAGATTGCTTTATAAACATCCACAAAAAGTAGCAACTGACTAAAGAGACATTAATTTTATATCTTTAGCAGAACATGGTAATAAGAGCTGTTGATCAGACCTATGTTGATAAACAGTTAAGACAATGCTGTATGATTCAATCCAACAGGTACTTATATTTGAAAGAACATTATTTTAAATAATTCACTCAGCATTTACTGATAAGCTTTTCTGAGCAGTGCTAAATGAGCAGCACTGTCCACAAGTGTAAAACTTTGGAAAAAAATCTGACCAGATTGCAAAAATAATAATTTCACGTTGTTTACAGATTCTCTAATCAACTAGGGATGAATTCAGCCCTCTAAAGACATTTGCTTTTATTTTAACTACACATAGAAATATGAATTGCTCTAAGAGAACCCTTAGCATAAGGGCTCAGTACAGTCTGTAAGTTAACCTGCAATGACGATAGATCCTGTCAATGACAGCTTTAGGATTAGAAGCAGCGTTGTAAGCTCTGAGCAAAAATTAAGTTGGACACAAAAGGCTTCTAGTAGCTAAATAGCTCTGGAAGTTACAGAATAAGGATTATAAAATTGTCCCTACTCAAGTGTCTACAGTTTGATTTCGGAAATTGCTGGTGCAGACAACAGAAAAAAAAAAACCAAAGGCTGTGATTAGCAACAGCTCTGTAATTTTATCATGTCTGTTAAAGATACAGACCTTTCTCCTTTTCTGGAAAACAGAAATATGAAAAAGAGAAGAGAGTATAACTAGGTAGTTCAACAACTATCTTTTCCAAGATGAATCACTTTTTAAATCTCAGCAGCCCAAGTGAAACCACTGTCTCATTTACACATACTCTTCTATGCCACAGATATTCTTAATACCCTCACAATTTCTTCTGAAAACAGTGGTCTAGTCCTATATTATTGATCCTTTTTTTTTTTCCTGTCCTATAACGCCCTTTTTCTTTCACACAAGCGTTTTTACTTCCATGGTATGTAAATTCCAAGGCAGACCAAGAAAGGCAAATCATCGAAAATAGCCAGAAGAAATAATTGGCGTTCTCATTTTTCAACAGTTTTAGCTGTTCAATTTAAAATCTGTGCTAAAATACCCAGGAGGGTTTTCATAAAGATTTAGTCATTTATCAGTTGCATGTCATATTTCAATTACATCAAATCTGGAAAAAAGAGTGGGTTATTAAAAAAAAAAAAACACTGTGAAAATGATCTTGTTGCTGGAAAGCCTGGCAGCCACAATTCAGAGGCTTGATGTGCAAGCTTGTCATTTGCATGCCACTACTTAGCTCTAAGAGAGCCCAAGTTTCTGTAAGGGCTTAGGGTCAAAACACCCATATAAGTGTGATTCCCACATTGAGTTAATGTCGTGAAAGTCTTTATGGAGAAACTTTGATTATCATATTTCAATAAGCATTTTTTTCTGCATATGAATTACAACAGTTACCTCGGTTCCAGGTACTACTTTATCAACTCACAAAATCACTGTTGTATGTTAAAGATGAAGGAACTTAAATATAAGGATTTAATTTTTTCTTCTCAGTGGTTCTTTCTAGAAATTAAGTTCTTACTGGGTAAGCCTGTTTATGATTATTTCTTTTTTTTCTGATCCATCAGCAGGATTTTTTTTTTAAATCTAAAAGAGTTGGTAGAACTGAGGCAAATTTGGAGCCAAAAATGCTGAGTTAAGTTATCTAACTAACTGTATAATAGTTCACATTCAAGATAAACAATTGTCAGGTCTGTATCAAATTTCAATTGCGTCACATTCTGGAAAAAATAGTTGCAGTTAAAGAAGAAATTTTCAAAGTTACTCCGTTGCTGAAGAGTGGGAGCCATAGTTCCAGGTGAGGACACTTAGAAATAATGAAAATCTCCTTTTCCCAGTGAGGTACAGAATTCAATCATCAATCACATGCCTTCTGAACAAAGAATTTTATTTCATAATTTCCTAATGTCATGATTATTGAATAAGAAAAGTTTTGTCTAGAAATATAGCAGGACCATCTGATGGTAGAGTGAGTTACGAAAATGAAGTTCTAAAACAAAATATCACTTTTAGTACAAATTTTTATTTCTATTAGGAAATTAAATTATCTTGAAATGTGTCTTGAAATACTTCTGCTTTGCTGCAGCTGGATAGACAAGAGTCCAATCTTGAAATAAATTCAGACAATTTAGAATTCTGTTTTAAGTAAAGACTATTGGTACTTCAGAATGTTGCCGTAGTAAGATGTAAAGGACCATTTCAGAAAATACCCTACCTGGAGAGTTGCATTTTTACCTTTAAAGATGATCTCTTGGAGCTTTCATGATATAAGACTAAAGACAGTTATGACATGGCTGTACGTGTGCCGTTTTACTGTATGTGCATATACTAAGAGAAGTCCGCAATAGAATTGTGCCATGGAATGGGAGACACCAATTCGTCTGTGAACCTGGACCGCTCCTCAGAGAGCTGCCTTCTCTCCTTTCAGTAAAGTCTGGATAAGACATGTACTGTCTTTTCAGATTGAGTACTCCATGGCACACTTTATTTATATCCCCAAACTTCAGCAGCAGTATACGCCATAAAACACATCCATCACAGTCTACTTGCTTCATTGTCCTTGACATCTATGTGAGGAGCAGCAACTTCCACGTTTAGGCATTTTCAACTGCGATATGATGGTATCTGCCAGGTGACTCTATTAGGGATGAGATAAAGTTGCTAAAACGCTACCAAAGAATGATATTTTCCTTTTTTCTGTGCTATTTTTGTTGGAAAATGAAAATTCTCAAAATACAAGGTGCGGAAAGTATCTCCTAACTGCTATACTGATAGACTAAGGATCTACAACTTTATACCAGGAGTGACAAAGATGGTAAACAGGTCGATTCTGAATGACTTTCATGATGCAGAGTTGCAAACTGAAAGCCACAGTGTTTTCCAGAGGAAGCAGTGTGATAAAGCCTCTTCCCTGCACAAAGGCAAGATACCAAGTCAGCTGATTGGCAGTAATGGTCCCTTTGAGAAATATGATCTCTTAACTCCAGCTGAGCTTTCTAGCTCCTGCTGATTTTCATCTGGATGTTTAACTACTGTTTTGGGAAAACTACCCCTTGAGAGGAGACTGACATCCTTTTTTAGAGCATGTGTTTCTAGGGAAAAGACTTAAGGTAACCTTGATAAATAAGGTAAATTAAGTTAAATTCCAGATTCCTGACATTCTTTGATTTGCCTGTCTCGTGATATTTTCTTGAATGACCAGACTGAAATCACCTCTCTCATTCTTTGTCATTCTTAAAATTGGTTGTGTTGTACAGAACATGTCAGGTTGGATTCACTGCTCTTGAAATTAAATGGGTTTGT